ATGGCATGGCATGGCATGGCATGGCATGGCATGGCATGGCATGGCATGGCATGGCATGGCATGGCATGGCATGACATGGCACAGAATGGGATAAGCCTGCTGTTAGCCCACATCAGAGCTCACACCGCTGCGAGCCCCCTCCCTGCCCCCGGGCTGTACCCCCAGAGCCAGCCCTGGTGGCATTCCCGGTGCTGTTCCCAGCACCATGGGATGGAATAGCTGTTCCCAGAATTCCCTGGCTCACCACAGTGCTTCTGGAAGGCCTGGGGTTTCACCACCTGGCTGCAGTGGTTGCACACCACCAGGTAGAAGTCGTCATGCGCAGGGCAGTGCCCGAAGATGTCCATGTCTGTGGGGAGAGCTCAGTAAGCTGGCACAGACCTGCTGCTGCTGGAAGCACTGCAGACAATGATTCCAGCTCGATGGCTCACACAGCCCCAAAATGCTGGGTTTCACCCCAGAGAGGAGCTCACCTTCCTTAATCAGGGTCATGGTGTCCAGTTTCTTGCTGCCACTCCTACCATTCTCCTCCAGCTCTGACCCTGATCCTGCCAGAGACAAAATCCTGTCAGTGGCTGGCACAGGGATGGTCCCGGTGCTCCCACACAGGGATGTTCCCGACATTCCTGCTCCTGGAACAATTAAACCAGACAAAATTAGATCAGAGAGACAGATCCATCCTGTGAGTGGCGTCGCCCTGTGGTGTGTCACCATCTCCAGGGTCCCCATCCTGACAGCCCAGTGCCCGCAGGATGTTCCTGGGGACGTCCAGTATGGGATGTGACACTCCTGGGAAAGCCCTGTCCTGGGATGTGACACCCCTGGGACACATTTACCCTGGGATGGAACATCCCTGAAGACACCCTGGTGCTGGGATGGGACACCCTTGGGGACAGCCCTGTCCTGGTTGGGATGTAACATCCCTGAGGACACCCCAGTCCTGGCACATGAGACCCCTGGGAACATCCTGGTCGCAGGATGTGACACCCTTGGGACCCCCTGGTTCCCATACAGTCATGGCTCCACTGCCTGTGCCTGGCCAATGTCCTGGGCTCTGTTCTGGGGGGACTGGTGGCCACTGAGCCAGCGGCAATGGTGACCTGGCCAACTGTGCCAAACCGGGTGTCCAGTCCATCCCCAGTCCTATCAGGCCATGCCATACTGGGCACCCAGTTCCATCCAGCTGTGCCATACTGGGTAACCAGTCCTGCCTGCCTGGCCATGCTGTACTGGTGCCCAGCTCCATCCAGCTGTGCCGTACTGGGCACCCAGACCCATTCAGATGCACCAAGACTGGTTCCAGTCCCAGTGCTGAGAGCCCACTGGACACTGCCAAGCTCCCAGTAAGGGGCACCTGGTTCCCAGTGCACCCTGCCCAGCTCCCAGTGCAGGGTATCCCAGTGCCCAGCACGTGATGCCCAGTCCCCCTCTGGGGTTCCCAGTACCTCCTGCCTGGTCTGGGATAATGGTGGCAGCTAATTCCCAGTCCAGGCTCTCCAGTTACTGGTCTGTTCCCACTGCAGCTGGGACAGCTGGGATCCAGGATGGGGCACCCAATAACCAGCTCCCAGTAACAGGCACAGGGTTCCCAGTGGGCAGACTGAGGTGCCTGGTGCTGCCTGCCCAGTTCCTGGTGCAGAGATCCTGCTGCCCAGTTCCTGAATCCCAGTGCCCAGCGTGGCTGCCCAGTTCCCAGTGCAAGCACAGGGTTCCCAGTTCCAGGTGCTCAGTGCCCACTTCCAGGTGCCCAGTTCCAGGTGCCCAGTGCCCAGTTCCAGGTGCCCAGTGCCCAGTGCAGGATTCCTAGTGTTTGGTTCCTGGTATTGGGCAACTCTTGTAGGATGCTCCATTCCCAGCTCCCAGTGTCCAGTACAGGATGCCCTGTTCCCAGTGCCAAATGCCCAGTTCCTGGTAGTGGGTGCCATGTCTGGCTGCGCAGTGCCAGGCTCCCAGTCCAAATTCCTGGTGCCAGATGCCCAGTGCTGGATGCCACATTCCCAGAACAGGAAGTGCCCATTCCCAGTCTCCAGTGCTCAGTGCTGGGTGCCAGGTCTGGATGCCCAGTGTAAGGTTCCCAGTGCCCAGTTCCTGGTGCCAGGTACCCATTGCAGGATGTCCTGTTCCCATTGTCCAGTGCCCAGGGCTGCCTGCCCCATTCCTGTTTCTGCATGTTCTGGTGAAGGATGCCACATTCCCAGTGCGTGTTCACCAGTGTTGGGTGCCCAGTTCCCAGTATTGGGTGTCCAGTGCCACATTCCAGGTGCCCAGTACAAGGTGCCCCTTTCCTAGTGTCTGGTTCCCAGTGCAGCATTCCCAGTTCCCAGTACCAGTATCCCAGTGCAGGGTGCCCCATTCCCAGTACCAGGCTCCCAGTACAAGGTGCCCCATTCCCAGTACCAGCATCCCAATACAGGGTGCCCCATTCCCAGTACCAGGATCCCAGTGCAGGGTGCCCCATTCCCAGTACCAGGATCCCAGTACAAGGTGCCCCATTCCCAGTACCAGGCTCCCAGTCAGGGTGCCCCATTCCCAGTACCAGGATCCCAGTGCAGGGTGCCCCATTCCCAGTACCAGGATCCCAGTACAGGGTGCCCCATTCCCAGTACCAGGCTCCCTGTCAGGGTGCCCCATTCCCAGTACCAGGCTCCCAGTGCAGGGTGCCCCATTCCCAGTACCAGGCTCCCAGTCAGGGTGCCCCATTCCCAGTACCAGGCTCCCAGTCAGGGTGCCCCATTCCCAGTACCAGGCTCCCTGTCAGGGTGCCCCATTCCCAGTACCAGGATCCCAGTCAGGGTGCCCCATTCCCAGTACCAGGCTCCCTGTCAGGGTGCCAGCTCTGGCTGTTCCCAGTGCCAGGTGCTGGTACAGTTTGCCTCATTCCAGGTGTCCAGTTCCCAGTGCCAGGGAACATCCCAGGACACGCCAGGACAACCTGCTGCGGGCAGCCGGCACCAGAAACCGGGCACCGGCAACCCCGCACCGGGCATCCAGAGCCGGCAGCCTCAGCTGTGCGCCCAGCTGCCGGTACTGGATACCGGCTCCGGATGCCCGGCGCGGGGCTCCCGGTGCCCAGTTTCCCAGTGCCCCGCTCCCGGTGCCCGGTTCCCCGAGCAGAACGAGCCTTTCCTGCTGCCCGCTGCAGAACCTGCTCTCGGTGGAGGATGCTCCGTTCCCGGTTCCCAGCGCAGGATGCCCAGTGCCCGGTGCAGGATGCCGGATGCCGCGCTC